TTAATTACAAATTTGGGATACTAATCATTATAAATGAATAATGAGTTTTAACTTAGCTGAATTTTTTGTTATTATTATGATTTGATTAGCTGTTGATAGTTAATGTTGATTGTTGATTGTTTACCAAAATGGTTAACTAAGTAAAATCTTACCTGTCAAACTTATTCACGATTAATTATTGATCAAAATTGACGATTTTGCAAGAAAATTTTGTTCAACTTTTTTTCCTCCAAGTTGATCATTTTTGTTTTCGCTAAACTCATCATGCTCTCTGAATTCTGATGATGAAACTTTTGTTGTGATAACTTTTCTGAGCCTGATATTTATATACATTATATTTGAAATTCCTCATGGGATCATGATGATAATGATGATGGAAGAGAAAGGACAAAAAGTTCTATGAATATTTTTTTCTTCTTATACTTTGATTGACTATCTGACAACATCCAAGAGGAAAATGTGATGATAATAGTATTTTAAGACTTATCAGATTGGGAATTAGACAAAAAAAGATGAGAAATGGTGATAATCTGAATAGATTAATGTTCAATGGATAAAGAAACTCAGATTAATTCAGTTAATTAGCTGAGTTATATAAAGAAAACTATTGAAATTAAAGTAAATTTTTATTTCTCAATTGAATTCAATCAAAATTTACTCTTTTTAAATTAATTTCTATTGAGATATATATATCATGCTGTTCATTGAATTACTCATGAAACTTATCATGACTGACAACGTGATCCTGATAATATATTTTATTGATTGAGTGAGAAAACTTTTTGCTGATTTTGTTAATCAAATGAATTTGAAGACAATAATGATAACCATTTAAACTGTTGGAAAGAAAATTTTGTTTCTTCTCATTTTTATTGTTTGAATTTCAATTGAATTTAAATCTACCCTGAGGCCATTGAATAACCACTTATCCTAAATGGCAAAACTGAAAATTGAATAAGGTTGAAATTTTTTAGAATCAAATTATCACTCAATTGGTGAAAAGGTTAAATCAATTGATTCGGAAGAGGTTAAGTGATGAAATTAAATCTAAACAAGTTGACAAGCTGAATTGCTATTGATTATAATAACAATAACTTGACGATAATCAGTAAACATGAATGGTCAAGATGTGAGGATGCTGTTTAATGGTCAAATCATTTGTAATCAAGCTGAAGCAAAGTTCAAATAATGAATGAAACTTGAAAATTGAACAATCGTCAAGTTGTAAAGATGATGAAAAAAAAGACTCATGAAATTCAGGGTAAACTGAAACGTGACTTAAATAACATGAATGGTAAATAACATTGACCCTGTATTTCAATTATCATTCAATTGTTAACATTATCATAATCATTGTGAAAACGATAACAATTTAAATTGTTTGTAAAAATTTTCCATTCATTTAAAGATAAACAAAACTCTTGACCATTATCAAAGTTCATTGAGAAAAGTATAACAATCAATTGATATTCAATGATAACAATCAGACAAAAAAGTTATCCAATAAGTTATTATAATAGTTAACAAATTGTTCAATAATAATAATAATTTATTCAACTTTTTGTTTACAATATTGTTTTCATCAGTATCATCATGATGATGTAATAATATTGATCATTATTTTTGAATTAAGAAAGTTGAAAACTGATTTGAATTCAATTGAATCGGATGAATAATTTTCACTCCCAGTGAGTAAATTGAGCAGATTCATTAATATGAATGATTTGAGATGCTCTTAATTCAACAAATCAATTAAACTAAACATGCAAATAACGTTTTAATTAATTAAAACTAATGAAATGTGAAGTGTATTAGTGCTGGTTAATTAACAAACAATTATGACAATGTAATTAATTGTATAACCAATTTAAAGTTAAATAGACTGAATTTAACTGGGAAAATAAAAAATAAATATTTTCTTTCACTTCCTCACAATTTTCATCATCGTTTTACAAAAATAAAAAGTTAATTAACTTTAATTTAGTTTAAATTGTTTTATTATTATTATTATTTTTCTACCATCAAGTTATCCTTCAAGGTAATTGTGAACAATTTAATATGATGATGATGCTAATGATTAGATGGAGATAATTTACTCAAAGAGTGATAAGTAAATGTTTCATTATCTTAATCTCCTGTGATGTTGATACATTTTCAAATCTCTCAAGATTAAGATAAAGTAACAAACAATTACCTGTATAAATGATATTAATCTCAGGTAAGTAACTATCACACATAGTTGATGATGAAACAATCCTTCAGTTGATAAGTTTAATTATTCACAGGGAATTATTATCATTCCTATTAGTTGCTCTGTCTAAATACTGTTATTCATTGTTATCATTTTCTCATTCCCCATGAGGCTGAACAATTTATCCGATATTCAGATTGATTTATCAGCGAGATTTAATCAGTAACCTTATTTAAAATGTAACAGAAATAGATACATTGAAATTCATTCATCATCATGCTAATTGTAATGATGAATCTGATATTCAAAGGTTAGTATTTTAATCTGAATGCTACAAACAATTAAACTGTTGATGCCAAAGGTAAATATTGGATTACAATTTGATCATGTTGATCAACTTTTCTTACACAATTGATTTGATTGGGAATTTTTTTTCCATCTCTTTGAATTTTTCACCCTTAATCTAAATTCATCTCTCTCTCTCTCTCTCTCTCTCTCTCTCTCTCTCTCTCTCTCTCTCTCTCTCTATCATGAATCTTCACCATGAAATTCATTCACTTGAGGCAAAATCATCAATTCAACAGATGAAGATAAACTGATTCTCCCATTGAACTACCAACAAGTACGAATTGAATATCGATCTGAAAAGGTTCGTTAATAATGCAAATAAGAATTAATTTGATCATGGAATCGATTTTTAATTATCATCTTAACTATTATCTTCTATCTTCTTAATTCATTCAGTTTACACTCTGTTCAATGCTCTTTCAGGGTTGGTGATATCTTCCATCGGTAATTCACAAATAACAACAACAACAACGTGAAAATTTTACATCAATAATTATCTTCATTATAATCAACTATTAATAAATTAACATGATAATATTAATCATTTACATTGACACGTTTCAAAAGTTTATTGTTATCATCTTATTAATGTATTTTTAATGCTTCATGTTATTTTTTTTGCTTCACCCTGTTGCTTCATTGAGCCAGAGTAAGATTCTGGGTGAACTGAACAAAGACAACAATCAGTTGACAATTAAGGTGATCAGTTGATAATAATAACGAGAAATGGCTTCAAGTTTCTCAATGATAATAATAAATAAAACCAACTACACATTAAGAATCTTATTCATGGTAAATTCAACGAGAAAATTATTCATAATATCGATTGTTACCATTTTTTTCTCATTCTCTCTCACTCTTTATTTCTTTCTAATCTAAAGGCCTGAATAGTAACTGAATTTCCAAATGGAAATTTAGAGATTTTTTTCTCCACCATGGTTACATTGAGTATCTCAAATACTTTGATACTTCTCATTTCTACCTGAGTATTATCATTGCCTTGGGGTCAGGTTGAAATGTTAATAAATGGTAATGAAAGTTAATACAATCGTTTTCCTGTGAAAGATTTTCCATCTTACAATCAAGTTAATCATCGGAAGGCAAATACAGTAAAACAATCGTCACTGTATCAACACCACCAAAAAAGTTCCGTTTGGTTTCATTCTGTTGTAATATATTTCCTATTATTTGTCCCCTGTAACTATTATCATGAAACCGAATCAGTTGATTCCTGGTTTTTTTTCTGGTATCAAACTGATTGGTTGATAATAATTGACTCTTCAAACTATAAGAACTTGTTTTGGTTTTGAAAACATTAACATCAATTCACTTGAGAATCATTGGTTACAATGAGGAAAAGAAAAAAAAATTATTTCTTCTTCTTTCGAACTGAATTTGTTCAAAATTCTGTTCGAAACTTTTTTTTCTCAATGGTTTCCCTGTTTTCTTTTTCTTTATCGACTTTTTCCCTTCCCATGTATTATCATGAATCATTTTCTTTCACAACAAGTTCCTGTTGAAATCTATTCACTCAAAGTTTTCCATGTGTCGATTAAAAGTTTATATTAGAATTTTTTTTCTCTTCTTGTTTTCCTTTTTCTCATAAAAATTGAAACCTTATTCATGGTGTTGTTCAGTTTTCACCATTGAATCAGATAGAATGTTGTACTTTTTTTTTCAATAATTTACATGAATTGTTTATCATCTAAGAATCAACATCATCTCTTGACTTAGATAATGTTATCTTAAGAGTCATGAGTACAATGAACAATTTCAACACATACTCAGGGTTTCAATGAATAGACTCATGAGTTAAATGACTTCGATGTTTTTTTCTCTCTCTCATCAGCTTTTCATATGTTCACAAATCACGAAGTTTTTTTTTCTTCTGTTGTACAAACAACAATTCGAGTATCATGTTAGAACAGTTCTTTTTTTTTATTTCTATATAAATCATGATGGAAAATTAGAACTGGTCAGTTTGATAAATTCGATGGAATTGGTCATTCATCTGTTTAATCTCTTCTTTTGAGGATGGATTAAGATTCTTTGGATATGATTTATAGCTTTTCTCTTCTTTTTTCTTCTTCATGGGGAAAGATTAATTCCCTACCTGTCGAATTGATGTAAATTCAGAGCTCATTCAATGATTGAATTCGATATAACTACGACTTCTAATCTGATGATAATCGAAATAAAGAATTGGATTAATAAAGTTTCGAAATTTTCTCTTTTCAGATAATCATTTGATTCGACAGAATGTATTCCGAATTGATCAGTTTTATAACTGATGTAAGTTGATTTCTATTTCTAATTTAAAAAGATTGATTTTGAAAACTGATTTAATTGTAATTCTGATTTTAGTTTGGTTTCTTTGCGCTTCTTATTTTGAATCATTTTTCGGATTAGGTTGAATGTTAATTGTTCACCAAATGTAATTGATTGAGAATTAATTTCTTACCTGAGGATTGGGTAGGAAACTAAACACATCGATTGGTGTTGGAAGTGGATGACGAGCTGGAAGATCAGTAATCACATAATGATACATGATGACGATGGTTAGACAATCCGAGAAATTAATTTGATAACAATTAGAAAATAATTAAGTCACAATTTGAGAGTTTAAAGTTAACCAACAATGAGAAATAAAATAAGAACGATGATTAAGTTGTTTGTTAACTTGGAAACTATTTAATGATGATGATGATGATTTTGTGATGTCGATAATCAACTGAGTCGAGAAATGTTCAGTTCTGAATTCGAGGTTTAATCAAAGGTCCAATGCGCAAGGTAACACAAAAGGAATACGTTGATTCTGATCAACTATTTCTCGCGCAAGACTTTTAATTCAACAGTTAATTTTATTAAATTAATTATTTGACTGAAGAAAATAACTTTTGATCAGCTAATTAGGTTTACCTATTGGTTGATTGTTAACAATTGGTAAGAATATAAAAAGTAATCATTGATTTATTGGTTGAATAGGAGAAGAAGCTTTTTTTGTTTATTTCCTTTTCCTTTTAAACATTTCGACATTTTCTTTCTCGATCAATTGTGATTCGATTAGTTGATCAAATCTGAAGTGACTTATTTTAATTAGATAATCACAATTAACATAAAGGCTCTCATTAGTTGATCCACTTGTATACAGTTTTGGTTAAGATGTTGATCATTTAATTTGATTGATTGTTGATCTTTTGGTTAAATTTTCAAAGAGCTAATTGTTTACTGGAATCATCTTAATAACACAATTAAATTTAATTCCGTGATAAATATTGATTCAAGTTGATGCCGGAAATTTAATCAACAATATAAGTTCAATATCGACCAGGTTAAAAATCACCAAGTTTTAATTGTCGACAAAAAATGTGATAATTTTGATCAATTGTCATCAACTCATCTCAATGGTAAGGGTTGTAAATGGTTGAGTAATTAAATGTTTTTCCGTTGATTTAATTGTCAAAATTGGTATTGATTTGATGACGATGATTACATGACAGCTCGTGGCAGCCTAGTGGTTGATTGTCAACATTTTGGTTAATTTTTTTTTCATATTTCATTCAGATTCCAGTTTCCTGGTTTATGGTTGATTAACATTGAAATGATTGCCTTGATTGTTTCTCTTATTTTTGATTGTTCAAACCTCATCATTTCTTGGTGGAGATGATACAATAATCATCAGTTGATCTTAATCTCGATTAGTGGCAACAACTACTGGAGATTTAATTTTCAATCTAATTTGTGATCTGCAGTTAACAATATGGAATCAATTTCCAATGGGAAAAGTGTATCAAACTTATTCCAATTTCTAGTGGTTGTGGAGATCATTTTATTCAATCCAGTTAATTGTGGGAATCAATCGTTATCGACAACACCATTATCGATTTTATCATCACCTCTGCCAATACCATCATCGACTTTACCAATTACAACTTTATCCTCTTCGCAATTAACGAAACTCAACGATAAATCTTATGTTATTCCAGTGAGATTAAAGTTATCCAAAGAGTTTAATTCAACGAAATCGCTATTGGCCTCAGGCTCTTCGTCATCTTTAAATCTCCCAATCGAGTCCAAATCGAATCTTTTCCGTTGGTTTCCCTTTAATCGTCTTTATAAACGCCAAGGTAGACAGACAAATGTACAAATCGCTGTGACCGTAACATTGGCCATTACAGCGGCTTTAAGTGCGATTATTTTGGCCTTGCTAATCGCTCTCTTGATTAGCATTGGAAGCCTTGGATATGCGGTTAAAAAGTGTTCCTTTGGTTTTGGTAAATATCTTTTTAAATTGTTCGGTTCAGTCGATCAGCATAGTCACAAGTTTATCCATATAATACATTTGATAATCAGAATTCTGAATGAAGTTTCCGGACGACAACATCATCAAACTGATTTCCTATTCCATTTGCTTCATATCGTTCGTGAAGTTGGAATCGAGAGACAAAATCAACGTCTCCTAGCAAGTAATGAGATTAATGTAAACGACAACGGTCCACCTCAACTAAATGGTCCACCACCGAATCATCATCACGATTTATCGGGATATCCTGGTTTCTCAGATTCACCGAGAAGTTTTATCGAGCGATCGGTTCGTCCACCTTTTGAACATGGTCCTATTCCTAAAGGTTATGGTTTTCCTCGAACCTTTGACCATTCAAATCGTGATGAAGATACACCTTTGAGCTACAGCAATAAATCAAGTGAATATGAAATGTCCAGGAATCAGAATTCTCATCCAAATCTTCAATACCAGAGTCCATATTATAATAATATCGAAACGTCAAGACAAGATTCCTCGTCGGCTTATGATTCAGATCAACATCCGAATCATAAATATAATTAACTGGAAGATATTTTCTCCTGGTTGACCAATCATCTCCTTTGGTTAAATCTTTAGCTAAAAGCTATAGAATTACAATTTAATTTATATGTTTGATATACATGAAAAAGATTTAATTTATTCACTCCAATTGGTTTATTTCCTTTGATTACTACGAATGTGTTTGTGTTAAGTTAATCGTATAAACAATCAGTCTGAAATTGTGTTTGTAAAAATGAGAAAATGATTAATAAATTATGTTAAATAATCAAAAAGCAAGACAGTTAATTGTAACTTAATATGAATGGTTGTTGTTGTTTTTGTACCAGAAATTGTTCATTACAAAATTACAACGTCAATTTGGAATCAACTTTGGTTAACCGTGAAAAAAGCAAAAAGTTAATTAATTTTTAGTTCATTACAGAAGGAGATTGATTTTTTTGTTAACTGATTGAGATGATTAGAGATGAACACTAATCGTGTTCAAAGAGTATTTATATTTATAAGCTTTTCTGTCGTTTTAAGATTAGTAAACATAAAGGGGAATTTTTTTGTGTTGGTTTTGATTGTTACGACTTATTAACGAGAAAATTATCGTTACAATTAGCATGTATATGAGGTCTTTTTCATGAATCTTGGTGTTTTCATGATAGTCAACGGGCATTTGACTTGTGTTTTTTTCCGCTTGTTCTTAGGTATAAATAGTTTTATTATAATTAAATAGTACCTTGAAGTTGTATGGAGTTTGTATAATTTTATATATAACAATAACTAAAAGGTTTTCCGATGAATCGCTCTGTGACCTGCTTCATCGTACTCTTTTCTTGAGACCCACATACGCTTAAAAGTGTCCAAACTTGCAAGAATCGATCCTCCGATCCAGGTTGAGAATAATCGTTCACTAGAAGCACTGATTCTTATTTTCAATTCTTTGGGTGTTATCTTCCGAAGCTCGTTCAACAAACGGTCACCAAAACCTAATCGATAAATGGACAAGTGAATGAGAAAAGAAAATAACGATTAAAGAAAAATTCACTCAAGAGTCAAGATTGTGAAGCAAAAAAAATCCAATTGTATCCAGGTGATTAGTTTACTGTTAGGTTAATTACCTTTGATTAAAGTGCTTCCTCCACTGAGAACAATATTCTGATAGAAAACTTTCCTTAGATCCATGTCAGATTTTTGTATACTATAAGCCAGAACATCATGAACACCTTCAAATTCACAGCCAATGATATCAGGTTTAAATAGAATCTCTGGAGCTCGAACTCTTGGACCAGCTCCTATTTCAACGTGATTACCATCAGGAAGGGTATATAAGATTTTCTCTAATTCATTGTTTGTTGCAGAGAGATCATCAAGTGCCCTGTGGAATTGGTTCAAAGATTAAATATAGAAAGAGAAATTAATGTTTGTGGTAATCAATTTAAATTAAGATCAAAAATTTCACCTTTGAGGGTTACTGGTGATATAGCAAATTTTTTCCTTTATATTTTTTACCACTTCAAACTCAGCGGTGGTATTGAAAATAAGACCCTCCTTTCTGTGAAATAATTAGAATGTGATTAGAGTGAAATAAATTAGAAAAATTGAAACAAAGCGATTGATCAGAATTTTTGACTCATTTACCTTAATAGAAGCTTCAAGTATCTGGTTACATCTCTACCAGCGATATCAGACCTAACTATTGACATGGGAAGGGCGAAACCTTCGTAAATAGGCACGGCATGAGTTACACCATCGCCTGTAATGGGGAAAGAGATGGAATAGATTTTAGATTGTTTGCAATATTATTGAGCTTAAAATTTGTGGAACTACAGTTTACCAGAGTCTAGAACAACACCAGTGGTTCGACCAGTGGCATATAAACTGAGGACGGCTTGGATAGATATAAAGAGAGCGGGTACATTGAATGTTTCGAAGAAAATTTCTGCAGCTCGTTCACGATTTCTCCTTGGATTTAAAGGAGCCTCTGTAGAAAGAATATAATTGAATAGAAGAAAAATGATAAAATCAATAAATTGTAGATGAGCTTGAACCTCTAATTTGGTTGAAAAGAAAATAGAAAATAGAAAATAGAAGAGATTTTTGGAAATGTCAAATAAAATCTAAGAGAAAATCTAACCAGTGAGTAGCACGGGATGTTCCTCAGGGAATGTTTGTAGTTGTTCTTTGGCATAAATATAGCTCCAAATTTTCTCCATCTCATTCCAATCGGTGACAATACCATGTTCCATGGGATATTTAATTGTTAAAAGTCCACGATGCTCTTCAGCTTTTTTACCAATAAAATTATCCAACTGAAGAGCTCCGGCCATTACCCGAAGGTGTTTTGGTTTACCAATCATGTTGGCAAAAATACATTTTGGAACTTGATCACCGGCAAAACCTGCCTTGATAACACCTGAACCATTATCAATAACAATAGGTTGATTAGCAATCACATCTAAATCCATTGTTAAAAAAAGATTTAATTTTATAAAACCCTAATGTTAAACAAAAATTAAATCTAATTGACAATCAAATAACAAAAACCAAAAACTTAATCAGCTGCATAGAAAAAACGTTCACCTGACGAACAATAGATGGCGACAGTTTACATTTTTAGCGCGAAAATTCGGTAATTCAATAAATGAGAATTTTTTTCAACCTTTTGTTTGATGAAAATGTTGACATTTTTAATTGTTTCTCTTAATTGTTGCTATTAATTATCTTAATAGTTTTTGTATCTTTAAAGGAGAATTTGATTGTCTTTTCTTACCTAATTCGCTGAGTAACTAAATTCAATTGTTTGGATTGTTTTTAGAATATGAATGAGAATCGATTTTGTATTTGAATTTTTTTTCTATTCACTTTTTTTCTTAGATATTCTTTTTTCTTTTCTTCTTCAATTGTGAGTGATAATTTTAATTTTAATTGTTTATTATCATGTCAACTGGTAATCCTATTCCTGGTACTTCAACTGGTACCAATCAATCAACAGCTACTGCTACTAGTGGAAATGTAACATCTTCGTCTGGTGTTACCTCAATCCCTTTAGCACCGAATGTTGTTCAAGTTAATCCAAAATTGAAAAATAATCCAATTCTAACTGGAATTAAGAACGTCCGGTGGATTTTTAATGATATTGTTCCAGATTTTGTTCTTGGTCAAACAACGTGTGCTCTTTACTTGACCTTAAGACATCATACTCAATATCCTAATTATATTTACGATCGGATGCAACAAGTTGGTAAATCATATCAATTACAAGTGTTACTTGTTCTGGTTGATGTTATGGATCCAAATGCTTTATTGAAAGAACTCGCTAAAGTATCAATTATGGCGGATTTTACTTTAATTTGCTGTTGGTCAGTTGAAGAAGCTTCAAGAATAGTTGAACAGTATAAAATGTTTGAGAAAAAATCGCCCGCTGTTATCATGGAGAAACAATTAGCTAATATCAATGGAACAGAGGATAAACATAAGTGTATCATGGAGGCTCTTTCAAGTATCAAATCGATTAACAAAACTGATTCATTAACATTAATCTCACATTTTGAATCACTCGAGAGAATAGTTAAATCGGATGGTGAAACTTTGGGCCTTTGTCCCGGTTTAGGTCCACAAAAGGCGGAGAAATTGTACCAAGCGTTTCATAAACCGTTCCTAAGAAACGATTGAATAACCAATTAGTTTTTCTATTGTTAAAATCGTTCTATTAACGTTATTTTTTCACCACAAAGATTTGATTAGAAACCGAGAATCAAAGGATAAAGATTGAGAAATTTCATCAAATTTTAAATTTAATTTGTATCTGTTTGGTTGACGCGATAATTTTCGTTTAAATGATTTGGGGGGAAAAAAGCGAACTTTGTAATGATTATATATCAATTTAATGACCGAGTAGGTTACACAAAAGTGGATCATAGTTTATTCGGCTTTCTTGGCTCGCTTGTTTCTCTTTTTGTGAATTCGAGGTTGCTGGCTTCGAAGAAGAGCACTAGCTTTACGAAGAACAGACTAAATAGTAGAAAAGAAAAGAAAAGATAAGAAGAAAAAGGGAAAAAAAGAGAAATTGATTAGAATCGATTGGAGGAAAATGGTTCGTTCTTTCTTCGAGAAAGGAAATCGAGAGATTGAACAATCAAATACATACCATCTTAAGATCGGTCCGGTAGAAATTTTTATTGACGAATTTCTTGATGCTACGATAAACTCGTCTATTGTCTTTTAAAAGTGGGACTCGTTGAAGGGATTTTTTGGGCATCATTTGGTATTTTCGCTTACGGTAAACTAGAACAACACCTTTACCCTTTGGGTGAGATGTGACAGACAAGCTTTTCCTTTGAATACTTCCATGCCATCGGAGAGATTGTACACCCTTAGGGTTAAGGGGATCCTTGGAAAATGGAACTTTGATTCCTTTTTGTTTGTAAATATGACAATTATGGTTCTTGGTGAAAAGCCAAAGAAGATCTCGACTAACATTGATTCCAGTGTTACTTCCAGCCATTGTGAAATTTAATTTAGAAGTTTATTTGAAACCTGTTGATAAAAGGGAAAATATAAAATATAAAACAAGAACAAAAAACAAATCAATCAATCAATTAACCAAAAAAAAAAGATAATATCAATAAACAAAAATGAAACAAGTAAAAAAAGGAAACAGTAAACATCAAATTATTTTAAAAGACAATTCATTTGAAAATAAACAAATTAATCGCCCTTTAAACACTTGGCTATTACTAATTGAACGCTAATAATTAAGGAAAAACGTATTAAAATCAATAAAAACTTACCTAACAAGATGAAACAATTAAATTAATCACTAGAAGTGGATGTAGTTTTCCTGACCAATTTACTTTTTAACAAAAATCCAAAGCAAACGGAAACTGAAGCTCAGATTTCCGGTTACAGAAAAAGCTCTGAGAATAGCGCGAAACTCATTCTACATCGGCTATTTTCAGAGCATCGAACAAAAAATTTTTCTGTAAACAAAAAATTCTTTTTCCACTTGTCAACATAAATTGTAATTAGACTTTAAAATTAATTCTTTTAATTAATTTAATTCTATTTAGATACAACATTAATTTCTTTTTTTTTTAAAAATTATCAAGTGATTATTAATTACGATCGAATTTCTTTTATTACAAATTAAATTACCATTTCTATTGGATGGAATCAAACAATTAAAGGTAACTTGTCAATAGATTTTTATTTTTTTCTTCTTGTTCTTAATAGTGAAATTTATGTTCTCTATTAATTGTTGTTCTCAATGATTCTAACGTTTTCGGTTAATTTTGAAGTTTTAGTGTTTAAATTAATTTTGTTTGTGTTAACTTGATTTGGTTAATTGTTTTTGTAATTGTATCTTTAAGGTAATAATTTGATATAAAAAAAGCGCCTCAACATTGTGTTGTATTGTTTTTCTTGGGTTTTGAGTTTGCCCAATAGGAGAAGCCTTTTAATGATGATTTCTTGTTTGATAGAATAGAGAATGTAAAAGATAATTTAGATTAGATTTACATTGATCATTGGTTCATCGATAATTAATCGTTATACTTTTCTTTTTATCTCTTTTCATCTTGTTTCTGGTAGAATTTGGATTCTGGAGATCGATCCCTTGTAACGGTGCCTTCTACTTTCAGTGTGTATTCATTTCCAACGTTCATCATTATTATTTCATAATCTTCACATATCTTCATCTCTTCAGTTAATTTAATTTGTTCTCCCATCGATTTAAAATGAATTTCAATTTTAAATCTTCATGAAAATTCATTTAACGAGATTAATTTGTCAAATAAATTGACAAGTCATAATATCAGTTATCATAATTAGATAAAATTCTCGATAGTTTTTTTTTCTCTCTGTCTATTTTTTTCTCTCTCTCTCTCTCTCTCTCTCCTTCTTTGTCTCATCATTGTATTTAGATCATCAAAACTTCAACTTTAATCTTCTTCTTATCATCTTTATCTAATCTCCATCATTTTATTCTCAACGATTTAAAAAAAAAGTTCTTCACTCATTATGGAAAATGAACAAGCTCCTGATAAGGAGAGATTCGCTCGTGAGAATCACAGTGAAATTGAACGTCGCCGTCGAAACAAGATGACCGCTTATATCACCGAATTATCTGACATGGTACCAACATGTAGTACATTAGCAAGAAAACCCGATAAATTGACCATCCTTCGAATGGCCGTGAATCACATGAAATCATTACGAGGTACCGGTAACACAAGTAACGATGGAACCTACAAACCTTCATTCCTCACTGACCAGGAACTTAAACATCTCATTTTAGAGGTAAAATCTTTTTCCACAATTGATTTTTTTTCTATTCTTTATTCCAACCATACTGATAATTCATATAAATTAATTTATCCAAGGCTATTTAATCATCGAAAAACAAAAGCATAACAAGTAGTAATTTAAATCATTTCTATGTACTGATAACCAAATGAGCACAATCATGTTGAAGGCCAATGTTTTAATTTTATTTCCTCTTTGTTTCATCTTCTTTTGTTTTTGTTTTAATTATCTCTCTTTGAGTTTTAATTACCAGTTTTATTAATTATCATTTAATATAATCGTTTTTTTTACATTTAATTTACAGGCTGCTGATGGTTTCTTATTTGTTGTCTCTTGTGATACTGGAAGGATTATCTATGTTTCTGATTCGGTTGCCCGGTTTTAAATCAATCACAATCAGATTTTTTCAATTCTTGTATATATGATGTTGTTCACCCTGAAGATCGGGAAAAAGTTCAAGAACAACTGTCAACCTCAGAGTCACCCAATTCAGCAAGAATTTTGGACTTGAAGAGTGAGTTTTATTCCTATTCTAATACCGGATTTATTTTCTTTTTGCTGTTTTTTTTATTAATCAACAATCATTTAAATTATATTAGCAATTAACTTCGTTCTTGTGATTGATTTATATTTACCTTTCTTGTTGATATTTAGCTGGAACTGTTAAAAAAGATGGAAGTCAAAATATGTCTCGAATGTCAATGGGATCTAGACGTGCATTCATTTGTCGCATGAAAATCGGTAATGTTCAACCTGATGCCTTATCTCCAGGTCATATACATCGTATACGCCAAAGAAATAGTTTAGGCCCATCAACGGATGGTAATGCTTATACTGTGGTTCATTGCACTGGTTATATTAAGAATTGGCCTCCCGCTGGAGTTCCGGTTGAAAGAGGATTAGATGGTGAGGATGGTCATCATGGTTCACATTCCTGTTTGGTTGCGATTGGTCGTCTTCAGGTGACCAGTACACCCGATACAAATGATCTAATGGGATCAAATTCTAATGCTGAATTTATAACTCGTCACAGTATGGATGGTAAATTCACTTTTGTTGATCAAAGAGTTGGAATTGTTCTCGGTTATCAACCTCAAGAACTTCTTGGTAAATCGTGTTTTGAGTTCTTCCATCCAGAAGATCAGAACCACATGAAAGAATCTTTTGAACAAGGTAAATATCTCTTTCTTTCTGTTCATTTTTCCCTAATTTAATTTCTCTAACAATTGTCTCTCTTTCTCTCTCCTTTTTAGTTCTTAAGCTCAAAGGACACACTATGTCAGCTATGTATCGATTTCGAGCAAAAAATTGCGATTGGATTTGGTTTCGAACGTCAAGTTTTGCTTTCATTAATCCTTACACTTCGGAGGTCGAATATATTGTTTGTACCAATGCTTTAGTGAAGTAAGTGATTAAACATTAGGAGTTTTTTTTTCACCACTTAATCAACTAAAATCGTAACTGAGTCACAATTGATTATTTGGTGGAAAGTGAATTCTTTTTCTACATTATCATTGGTTTGATTGTTTTCAAATCAATTTTGTTTATTCAATAATTTCTAACTAATTAATCTTATGTAATAGAAGCCTCAATCAAGGAGGTGATGTTACTACTCAAGATCATCAAAATACAACCGCTGATGGCTCAATGACACACAATTATCAAACTCATTCCATTCAAGGAAACGCTGGTTTAATTCAAACTAATCAACAGCCAAAGCCTGAAGGTTTAGACTACAGTTTACAAAGAAATGAAAATGTTTATTCATCAATGATTCCTCAAGCTCGACCTCATCTTCATGGACAAACGATGGTCAATGATAGACGATCAACTCCAACAGGCGGTCAAGTTTATTATGATCCAAACGCAAATCAATCCAACAACCAAATGAGTTATAATCCTAACAATCTATCATCAGTACCACCACCAACATCCAATCTTGTCGGCGGTCATACATTAGCACAAATGGGTAAAAGTTCTGGATCCAGAAATACTCCTTCACCGCCAATGGCTGCATGGGTACCAAGACCAATTCAAAGGGTAAAAATTTACCATTTAAATTCTTAATCTCATTTTCAATTTATAATCTAAATTATTATTATGATCTAATCCTTTTTTATTACCTCGATCAACAGTCTGATGGTTATAATCAATCATATAATCAAATTAGTCCACCATCACGAAGTCCGTCAGGACCAACATACACTCAACTTAACAGTGCTATTGGAAATCGAGGTTGGTAAACATTAAACTTTTTCTTTTTACTTCAACCATCTCATTAATTAATTATTTAAATTTACTTTTCATCAATCAACATTGTAGCTGGAATGTGGGGACAATGGCAAGGAACTGCTACTCCAGAGACTCCCGTTTCCTCTGCACCCACTGGTCAACCGACTGCCCAACCAAATCATTCCCAGAATCATGCAAATTCAAATGCTCCAGGAGCTCATCCACCTCAACAAGAATTAACTGATATGCTACAAATGCTTGGACAGACTGAACCAACATCTTTCGAAGAACTTTCCATGTTTAATTCATTCCCAGAATGAAAATAATAAATGCTAAGAAAAACAATTGAAAGATTCCAAATCTTGAGAAAATATAACCTGGATAAAGAAATCAAAAAAAAAATCTCATATCAACCATCAATTTCACTCTCTCCCTCTCTCAGCTCACACTCTAAAGGCACAAAAGGGGCAAAAACAAGATGAAAACACAACCCAACTTACAACAATCTCACCCACAATCAACATCATTACACAAACACACAATCATAATCATATTTAAACACTGACTTTATCGCAATATTTTGCTTATTTATTTATTGCTCATTCAACTATATGGTTTTAATTTAACATTCATGACAAGCTGACTTATAGTTAAGTTATAAAAAACGTTTTAATAAAAATTTTTAACAATCTCACTGTCGTTAAATCAGTTCAATTTACATGGGAAATCTTGATAACAGATTGAAGTGAATTTATTTCATTGAATTGAATCAACTGATTGCAAACACTTTTCTTTTTACACAAATGACTAGGAGACTCATGATGTATAAGAAAGATATTCATCTTCATCGGATAGACCTCGATCAGAATAATCGTCGTTATCATAATTGTCCAGAATTTCTTCATCAGGTTCAGATTCTCGGAGCATTTCATCGGTCATTGTTGATAGAATGGCTCGAATCTTATCGACCGTCCCTTCCTTACACCAGCCATCTTTGTCGTGGCAAATATCGGGTTCACATCCATCGTTTTCATGGACCAACTTTTGAACTTCTGGCACGTGAATTTCACAAAGTTGATAGTGACATTGGCGACATGAGGGTAGGACACCAGGTCGAAAGGTATACGAAGCAAGTAAAATTTGTTCATCTTCTATTCCTGACTTGGTTGGAGTTTCGGTTGAAGTTCCTGGTGGAGGTAAAAATATCGCTGGTTGGATCACTGAACCTTCACAATCTTGAGCTTTCTTAAAGGGCTCTCGTCTCAACAAGGGCATCGCATAATCGTAAATACTACGCTTGGGCATAATTTTATCTGAAGAATCTTTCTTGATATAAGCTTGTTTAACTCGATAATCGAGTGTTTGATAAATTTTACAGAATTTATTCTTCCTTGGGTCAAAACCATAACGAATCCATTGACATCGAAATGGACCATTCGGATAATAAAAGGCAACACAAGGTAGTAAATACTTTAGATCATCTCGAGTACATTTTAACTTGTAAAGAAGAGCATTTCGAGACCAGATTGGTCGTTGTTGGAATAACTTTTTCAGATCTTCAAGAACATTAATATTCGATGCATGAAGTCTTAGTTTCTCGAGCAGAACAGCATTTGGCTCAGTTGGAATCTCTTCATCCCAGTTAACTAACATTGCGAGGATCGATCTTGGTTTACGAGTTAACCCAATAATTGATTTAGCTTGATGTTCAACTGCCGTTTTATTTAAAGCATCATTTTTATGAACAGGTTCATCTTTGTAATAATATTCAGTAGGAACATCGAAACGACTTAAAATGGTTGGTAAAACCAATAAAGGAGCATCCGGATTAAAGCTTGACAGTGATGAAAATGGTGACTCAGGAATGATATCATTATAACGAGATTTATATCTTGGCTTATTTGAATCTAAGAAAAAAAAGAGAACATTAAAAGAAAAACAATTAGATAATTAACAAAGCAGCTTAATCCATAAATCACTCACCAAAGTTGATTCTTTCCATTGGTAAATATTGAAAATCAGCTAAAGCTTTGAATTTATAGGAAAAACTGATAAATCCAATAATCTTGGTCTCATAGATTTTCTTGACATTACCCTGATCATCAGTAATTGTTTTCTCGATACATTTAACCAATAAATTGTTGGTTGGCACTTTATCACCCAACATTGGATGACTGAATATATCAGGTCGAGGTGATAATTCAAGTCTCGATCCTTGTTTTTTGAAGGTTTCATTTAATTTTTCAGTTCCACCAATTGTTTCCATCATTCTGTCCAAATTTTTAACAATTCCAGGATATTCAATAGAAACTAATTCTTTAAATTGAGACATTATAACAAATTTACAAAACAATAGAAAAACAAATCACAATCAACCAAAGTAAAAAGTAATTAAAAATAACAAAACAAATTCAATGTTACAATTAACATTTAGAATCAAATTCTCCCACCAGATGTCACTCTCATCGGAAAAGAATCCCGATCATGTGTTAGATCAGATAAAATATCGGATCCCCAATGTTACTCTTTTTGTTTATGTTACAATTGTAATTGTAATTGTGTCCAAATCTTTTATGTGTCCGATTTAATAATTAAATCCTGATGATCTATTTAATTTTACTCTTAATGTTTCTCGTTAATTTATCATCTTTATCTTCCATTAATCCAATATAATCTTCCCGCTTCACTCATCCATCATATTCCATATTTTCTAATGTATTTAAGTGACTAAATATTTTTGTTTTCTTTTTTGGTTAATCTCCAAATCTTAAATAACCATTTTCTCTTGTATAAAGTGTTTATCATTTACTCCTGAAAGATGGATAAAATTGTACCTTTACCTCCTATTAATAATTATAAATTGACTGATTCTATAGGTAATTTAACACCATCAGCTGCTAGTTTGGTTAATATAAATAAAAATGGTTCAGGCCACGGGATTTTGGCTTATACTCCGATTTTCCTTCAAACTGGAACAGCTCAAACAATTGCTGGTTGTTTTGTTTGGTTAGCTCTACTTATCTCTTGTCATCAGATTTATCAACATCTTCGTATCTATACAATGCCATCAGAACAGAGATACATTGTCCGAATATTATTTATTGTACCTATTTATGGTTTTGATTGTTGGTTAAGTTTACTCTTCTTCAAGGACAATTATTATGTCTACTTTGATTCAATTCGTGATTGGTATGAAGCTTTTGTGATTTACAATTTCTTGGCTTTATGTTATGAATATCTTGGTGGTGAATGTAACATTATGTCAGAGATCAGAGGTCGACCGATCAAATCAAGTTGGTGGTATGGTACCTGTTGTTTAGCAGGTAAAACATATACCATTGGATTCCTGAGATTCTGTAAACAAGCAACACTACAATTTTGCGCCATCAAACCGATAATGTCAGTGGTTACACTGATTCTCCAATCAGTTGGAAAATATCGTGATGGCGATTGGAGTGCCGATAGTGGTTACCTTTATGTTACCCTGATCTACAATTTCAGTGTCTCTTTGGCCCTTTACAGTTTAATCTTGTTCTATCAAGCCACCAAAGATCTTCTCTCCCCCTATGATCCCATATGGAAATTTTTCACCGTTAAATCTGTAATTTTCCTCTCTTTCTGGCAAGGGGTTATTCTTGCTGTTCTCGAAAAGGCTGATCTATTACCCGAATTTTATTCTAGTGGCACTAAGGCGAGTACTGGTACCGTTTCTGCAGGTTATCAGAATTTCTTGATATGCGTTGAGATGTTTTTCGCTTCATTGGCTCTTCGTTACGCTTTCCCTTATCGAATCTATGGCGATTGTTCCGGTGATGGTAATGTGAGATCTGTAACCATGCAGAGTATTTCTAGTAGTCTGAAAGAAACCATGAATCCAAAAGATATCATGAATGATGCTATTCACAACTTTCATCCTCAGTATCAACAATATACTCAATATCATTCACCAACACCCTCAAAGTCACCCGGTGAGGAAGGAGTTGGTAGTAGCGGCAGTGGAAAAGTATCTGGAAGCCATCATAGCGGTGGAGGATCAACTAGTGGACATAATAAGGCAACTGTCGGAGAAGCTCATGATCAACGAATGGAATCTCATCAACAAAAGCAGCATAAAAGTGATCATTCAGGCGGAATAGTTAATCTTGGTGTATCAATTGAATCGGAAGATGCATTAGCCTCATCAGGATCAGCCATGGGAGGAGCTGCTACATCATCCAACAGCGCCGGTGGATCAGCATCATCTTCACAAAGTAAAAAGTCCCCCTCACCCCCATGGCCATTGCAAACAATCAGTCAAAATTACTCTGAAAAAACTACTTTGCTCAACTCAGATGATGAGTTCCAATAGAAAGTAGTTCCATTCCTGTGTATCATTTTTGTATTCTCTCTCTCTCTCTCTTTCTTTCTTTCTTTCTTTCTTTATCCTTTTATCACTTTCACCATTATCCTGATGAGATTAAAAACAAAGCGAGAGAAATGAAATTTCATCCACCGTCATCATCATCATCATCATCATCCTCACCATGTTTCAACCTTTCAAAGAATGGATCTGATTGAGCAACAAATAATCAAATCGAAAGGAAAAAAATTATTGAATCAAAAAGAAAGGATTGAAAATACTTTTCATGATTAACTCAATTGTTCTATGAATTATCGATGTGTCCCCATGAGAAAAGACAAGAGAAAACAAAACACTGTGTTGCAGCTAAACACTCAAGAGAATCTACAATTTGGTGTGACCGGTGAAAATCTCTTCCTCTTCCCGTTCAATAAGAATCTAACAAAATCCATTCTTGAAATTACCATGAATTCTTGTCTCTTGTTATTTACAATTCGTGCAAAATTAACTTAAAAATGAAAATAAAAATCTCCAAATCAAATTAAACCTAAACAAAAATATCGAGATTAATGTTTCAATTCTCTTTCAATCAACTAATTCTGATTAACGATCAGAACACTAATTTCATTTCATTTGACAGTTAACATGAAATTTTGTTTCTCCTTCTAAATTGTATTAGAAAATTAATATACTAATTAATTGAAAAACGTCAATTTGAACTCGATGTTCATTCACTAGCCAATGTCATTCATCTTGTCGATAAAATCACTCACTCTCTTTACTCACAATAACTTGATGACAAATCAATTGATCGCTGAATAAATGTTAACATGAATAAGGTTGTAAGCTTAACTAATTAATTGACTTTAAATCCTCTGATTGGTGAGAATCAATTGATTAATTTAGGTTAAAATAACACGAAACTGGCCAAGAGATGGCGATGGTTACTCGTGTATCGCAATTTAACCCAAACGGGGAAATGAAGTGAGTTCATTCAATATAAAAGTTTTTCCCCTTTAAATTTGGGTTCACGACTGTACATTTGTCCTAAATCATTTAGGTATTTCCATAGTTGACATCCAATCAAACATTTCCAAGTCTTTTCCATCACAATTTAATCATCGCTTCAAATGAACTGACTCTCGAATTTCAAAATTTCAACTAATGTTCGGAAATCGCTAATTAACCAAATGCACGAATTAAAAAATCGAAAAGGACTCAAAATGATCTTCCTGGACATCAAGCCTTCAACTTCGAGATGCATTGACCAGAACGAGCTCGAATGTAAGATCAGAAAGATATTGAATCGGTCGATTCAATTAAAGAAAATAAAAATTTCCATTAACCGATTTCAGATTAATTCTCATGATGATATTTTCTCAATATTGGATAACCATGAATGAGAACTTGAAAACTCATGGTAAACGAAATTAACAACAATTAACTTCCGAATACTCTTAATCAAAAGGTCTAACAGTTTGATTATCTTGAGAAAAACTTTTAATTGTTAACAATCAACAGAGGCAAAAAAAAGATTAACTAAAGTGAGTAAATGTATTAATACTTTAAATGGTAATTGATAAAACCAAGTGATTAACTTACGTCAATATATTAATAGTTTACAATCAGTAAACAATTTAAATGATTAATCATTTTTGCCTTCTAATTATTTCCCTTAATTACGATGACAAACACTTTTTGATTTTGGTGAATCAGTGAGAAGTAAAATTATCAATATTAATCACTCACCACAAGAGATTAACAATCAAGGAATGAAAGGAAAAAAGTTTTAACTAACCAATTGAATGAAGACAATTAATGAAGAAATGAGAAAAAAATTAATAACCTATCAACTATTAAAACAATCAACTGATTAATCTAAACACATCTAACTGAATCAACCAATTGATTGACTAACATTTCCTACCCAAAGGATAATTAAAATTGATTATGTCTACGTATTAATCTAACTATAGACATTTTTTCAAAACAAAAACAAAATGATTAAAGTTTAATTGTGATAATCATTGGCATCATTAACCATGTTTGACTCTGGTAACCATCAAAGTTTGAAATAAGCCAACCATGATTAAGATGGAGTTAATTGTTGATTGCAATTGATTTGAAAACCAATCCAAAAAAATAACACAAACAAGTCTACTGATCACAATTAATAAAACAATCAAAGCAAATAATGATAATCATCATGGTTAAACGTTGGGTTAATGATTGTAAGCATCAATTGTTGGGAAAGAAAATTAAAAATGATTGTGATTTGATTGTCATCATAATTATAATCATAGTTTTTCAACCTGATGGTTCATTGAGAAAGTAAATTGTTCAGTAATCAATAGACTTAATCTATGTTCATGTTAATCAGTCATCTTAACTTTGAGATGAATGAATAATTGATTAACCGTTTTAATGGAAATTAAAGAAAAACAGTTTTGTATTTTTCTTTCAATTATCAATTGAAATAATTCTCAGAGTTTTTGTTTTATCATCTCTGAGATTTATTTGGTTTTTTTTATTATTTTTTTTTCTTTCATTGGAAATAATAGTTCGCGTTGCATTGATAGATTTAATAAACTGTAGAAAAACTGAGGTAGCTTTATACAAAACAACGAAATGAATGAGTTGGTTGTGTTTATGTAGTAATGTATGTGTGGTGTGTTTGTGTTTGTGTGTGTGAGAGAGATGGAGAGACAAGAAAAGGTAGTTGTTGGTGTGTTGATGATTGGTGAGAAATTTGCTGTCATGTTGTTATAGCTGATTTAATCTCCATCATGATGATTGTTGGTAATGAAAACGTTTGCGTTGAAGTAGTTTGGAGTTGTTTAAATACGTTGGAGATTGATTTCGATTGCTTTTGGTTAAGGTTTTGTGATGTTTTTATGAGGGAGAGGAAAAAGGTTAATAAGTTAAGGTCATTTGATTACTAAATTGGTGGTGTTTGTTTAATACCATGAGAGAGAGAGAGAGAGAGAGGAGAGGGAGAGATATAGTGATTAATAAATTAAAAATTAAATCAGCTGCAGCAAATACACACAATTTAATTAAACCAGCTTGCTTATATTCACTTTTTTGGTATCTCATCAAAATAAACTCCATGGTTCTGGTTGTTTTCTCGTTGAAACCCAAGGTTTTTTTTCGGGAAATTTTGTATCATAAAGATTGTGTGTCCACCATGTCTTGTGGGTTAGACGAATAGGGAAAATTAATACCGGTATAAGTTTCTCTTAGAATAGGAATCTTTCCTTGATTCATTCTTTGAATGGGTTACACAAGGCGATTTCTTTTTCTCTTGATGATTCAATTATTAGATTTTTTTTGTTAGTTTTAGCGATTTGTTGTTACTAGTTAACTTTTGTAAATTAGTCCAATTGATTATTAAGTAGATTTTAATGGACTTTCTATTCCTTGGGTCTAGTGTTATTGTTTTCCTTTCCATTCGAAGTTTAGATTAACAGCAACATAGAGTCCGCTGCTCTTCTTTTCTTTTCCTTTTTCTCATATTGATCTTGATAAGTTTTTGCACTTTTTAAATCCTCAGGATGGATGAGAAGGCTTTGTGGATCTTTAATATTACTATTATTATTATCATTATATTATATAGAAGAGGACCAGCTCCCTTTTCTTTATCCTTTGAAAAAAGTATTTGACACGCTGCGCGTGCTTCAAAGATGCTTTTTCTTTTTTTGCCTTCACAAAAAAATCTTTTCCATCCAATCTTTAGATTCCATAATAATATGTAATTACACAGGTTTAAACATTGGATTACACAGAAGGTTGAATTGCGAAGCCTTTATCCGGTTCAATGAGGATTGTGGTGATTATGATGATGAAGATGATGATGGTGAAAGATGACGATGATTTCCATAATTATGAAAATGTTGAGTTTTGATACCAATGAAGAAATGGAGAGACAGAGAGAGAGAGGAGAGAAATAGATAGAGATGAGCAGATGAAGATGAATATGATGATGGTAAAGATGAAAATAAATTGGTGAAAAGTTATTTGTATTTCTTGAGAAATTTACAAACAGACAAGAAAATGCGCTTCGAGAAAAAAGTCATAATTTACTCTTTGGTGAAGAGGAGAGAGAGAGAGAGGGAGAGAGAAAAGATAGAAGTCTAGGAGAAAGCAAAAAAGAAGAAAGGAAAAGATGACAAAAAATGGAAATAGATGATGAAACCATAAATAAATGTAAGATTGAGATGGTGAGGAAGAGGAAGAGAAAAAGAAAGATAAAGTAAATAAAAATACCAATGAAAAGTTTGAGTTGAGGAGAGATCATTTCGTTTCAGTTGTAGTTTTATGTAGGTTTGTTGGGCGTAATTTGTTTAGGGTAAAGGTTTGGTACTAGCTTTTTACGACGAAAGAGAAAGTAATAGAAAAGGAGGAGAAATGAGAAGAGAGAGAGAGAAGGAGAGAGAGAGAAGGAAGAAAAAGCAGAGGTAAAGAGATTAGGAGCAAAAAAAGTTGCCGATTGATGGCATCTCTCACATAGTTTCCATGCCAGGCATGGATGAGACAAAAAATAAACACGCACGCTTGATTAGATCGAACCAAAAAAAAGAAACTTAAGGATATTTAACTGTGTACAATTTGGAAGCATTTTGCATACACTGTTAACAAGTATGTGGTGTGAATCAAAAGAAAATATTACAATTCTTTTGATTTCTTCTTTTGTTAACAGTAGGGAAAAGAGAGAGAGAGAGAGAGAGATTTGAAAAAAGATCGCAGATTCAACACTACTTTTTAAATGCAGAGAAAAAGAAGAACGATGACGGCGAATTCGAAGAATGTTGTATTATTGTGATTATCCTTCGATCGATGTAAGCATTTTCTTTTACTCTTTTTTCACTGATTGTTTCGTGTCCTTTGCTTTTGTTTGGGTTGTATCCATTTTGTGATTACAATTTATAAATAATAAATTAGAACTTTGTTTTCGAGTTGGAGAAGAGAGAGAGAGAGAGTGTGTGTGTGTATTTGAGAGAGAAAGGGGGCAGCCGCAAAAAATTGTGAAGTTATTGTTGGTTGGTTGATTGTTGAGTTTTCATTAATCAAATTAAATTGTGCAATTGGTTTTAGATGAGTCAAAAAAGAGTAAGAACTAAAATGGTTGACTATCAACCAAAACGTTCTTTCACCAGGAACATGAGTTTCTTTTTCCCTTTGTAAGCCATTTTAATGTTATCGATTAAGGAATGGAATTGCATCATGCCATCAGGAGCTAAGATGAAAGTTTCACGAGCTTTGCTCAAAAATTCAATAAAATCACCATAATGACGAGGACTAATATGGGTGAGTCTTGAATGCGTTGTGTTCACATAGGCCGCTATAGCTGCATCTAGAAGTTGACGTAAAGGTGTTCTATCCAATGGTAAAGGCTTCAAACATCGACGTTTTCCGTCAACACAAGCACTCAAACCGGGTGGACCGAGGGAACAACGGCGAAGAATGTCTGAAAGGACGGGTGCACATTGAACATTTTTCACTAAAATAGGTATTAAACCAGCAAGCTCATTTTTACCTAAACCCATTGCAAGGTTAAATGCCCAATGGATATCGCTGATAGACTGATGATTATCGGCATTGTAGGAAAGAGTGACACTTTTAATTGCTAATAATGCTAACTTGTAGGCACGAGGAGGAGAACCTCGAGATTCCATATATTTTGCCACATGGAAAAGTTGATTAGAGTTCATGATTCCAGATGATCCAGCCCGTAACACTATTTGATATGCACTTTCAAAATCAAATGGTTTATTTTCGCATAGATGGAGAGAAGGTAAAGCACAATTTGGTGGGTCTTTGTGAGAACATTGCAAAGCCAAGTTTCTTGCACAAGATGATAATTCATCTTGTTGATTATAGTCAAGTCCTAATTTCATCACAGTTCCTGGTGACATTATGGGACTTGCAACTTGAGTTGTAGCCTCCATGGGGGTAAAAAGTTCTGACCATTTGTGCATTATAGTAATTAAAGCATCTAGACCCACTTCGGTTGCACATAAAACCATCCACTTAACTACTTCTCGACGTTTATATGTATTAGTTGAATTAGATTGTGATGTAAGGGAATGTAAAGTCATTCTCAACACTTGTAAACCTAACTCGTAAGCTGCTTTTAAGAGGAATACATGACGAGGTCTTCCATCACTAGGAATAGCTGTATTCAAGGCACTCTCTGCCAATTTGAACAAGTGAACATAGCTGTGAATATTTTTCTGTGCTGATTTGAGAACCATCTCTAAACGACCATAGTCACTTTTGGCAGCGCATAACATTGTCGCAGCAAGTGTTCGCTGTTGAAACTCGATCTGATTGAGCATATGCCATCTTGGACTACGCACAACGTTACCATTACCATGGTTGGCTCCGCCTTGCTCACTTGAATCATCATTATTTTCGAGTATAGGAAGCCTACAATGGAAATAATATCAGAAATGAGGGAAAGCGCAGAGAAAAAAAAGAAAGAGAGAAGAAAGAAACGAAAAAAAGAGAAGATAGAAAAGAATATAATGAGATGAGATAATCATTTGACAACTTAATAGCCAAATTGATGACATACCTCATAGCTCTTAAGCCAACATTATACGCAAGCTCAGTATCATATTGTAAAAGAGCAGTGAACAGGTAACGAGCAAAATTATGCATAGGTACGCTTTCTGGGTGGATTCCGCGGCCAAGCCCACTAAAGGGTCCACCTTCTAATAAAAGGAAGGCTTGTTTCCGTAAAACAGCTACCAAATTAGTATCTAGATCAAAATCCTGTAGCTTCATGATAAGCTGATTCTCTTGTCTAAAAGCTTTTTCCTGAGCATGACTTCCAGAGGGCATCAATCTCTGCTGTCCCAAAGCAATTAAAGCTACTTCCAATGCTAGGCTTAAATAAGTTTCATTATGCTGACTTCCAGGTACTACTACATGTTGATAACGTGGTTTATCAGTATTGAAGATCGGATTTAAAGCATTGAGTACAGCAGGTTCTTCTTGCACATGGCTACTATTTACATTTGATGTTTGGGAAGAGGAGGAAGATTCGCCAAGAAAAGGAGGATAATAATGTTCAAGAGGCTTTGACTCGAAAGTTAATGAAGCTTCAGCTAAAGTATCAAACAGAGAACCAATCGGGTCCAGTGGATTTCCAAGCCATCCCTCAGTATTGCAATGAATTGGATTCGGGCAAACATCGGAATTGGAGCAAACATCTTGATAGAGAACAGTTAAAAAAAATAAAGGTTAAGAAGTTGATAATGGGAAAGAAAAGATAGGGAAAAAAAGATGGAAAATTTTCATCAGTTGACTGTAGGTTTAGCGAACAATATGACCTCAACGAAAAGAAGATAATGAATTTCCTTCTCTCAATCAAGAAAAAACCTTGTCAGGTTAAAAGGAGACCTGAAGCATAGTGTTTGTTTATAAAGTATTTGATAAATGATCAGGTAAATCAACTATCGTCACCCACAAGCACAACAAAGCTTAAGTAGATGATAATTTTTTTCTTCTTCTTTAAATGGGTATATTGAATTAATATTTTAGTTCAATCTTGATAAAAGACATCAAATATTTAAATTACTAGTTCAGAGCTTGAGAAAGATTTTAAAAGATTGTACTGTACACCCAAAAGTCGATATATTTATGATAATCGTAATCTTTTTTAACTGGAGTAAGTTCTGTTAAGTTTTGTAATAATTAAAATTTCCTAGTAAGGTGATCATAAAAAAAAGCTGATTAAGTTTTTTTTGTTGTTGTTGTTATTGTTTGTGTGCAGATATATACTTTTGACTTACTCAGATAATCCGGAGATCTTATTAACACGGTCACGATGATCAAAGGGAAAATCGCAATAATGATAATAAAGTAATAATCATAATGGTAATAATCACAATAATAAGAGTAATAAGTATAATAGCAATATAGTAATAATAATTAAGTGAACGAATTGTAATAGCTTTTGCTCCGATGTGAATGAGGGTGAATAAACGTAAGTAGAAGTTAATGCTTTTGCCTGAAATTATCTCAATTCAGCCAATGGTAATCATTTGAAATAATAAGTGATTTCAAGGATCATTTCGGCTATAACTTTTAAGAATTATTCTCACTTTTTTCCCTTCAGCTTTAACTGACTAATGTTAACAAGGTCAAAGAGAGAGAGAGAGAGAGAGAGAGAGAGAGAGAGAGAGAGAGAGAAGAAAATGAAAAAAAGTAGAAAGAAAGAGTTGAAATGAGAGACCGAATTATTTTAAAGAAAAAAATTATGTTACTTGTTACGAAATCTTGTTCACGTTGCCATTTACATTGCCACTCAAATTGTTGTCTTCTCATGGTTCGAACAACTGCCACAGCTAAACGTAAAGCCTCTTGTCTATAACCGTGACAGCGTAGAGCCTCAACTCGAGCGCACGCAGTTGGTATTGGTTCTAATTAGAAAGAATGATTTTAAAGATAAAGAGAGAGAAAAAAATGTGAATTAAATTGAGAATGATGAATGAATGAATGAAGGTATGGAAAAAGTTGCCAAATGAAGAGATGTTAATGATAAGGATAAAAGGAGGAGGAAAGTAAAATAGAGAGAAAGATGAATGGAAAGATAGAAAGAGAAAGAAATAATGGTAAGTATTCACTGCAGGGGAAAATTGAAGGTAAAGTGTAAATACCATTCCAAAGTGGATATCCTTTTGATGTGAATAATACTGAATTACTACAAGATGGCGGTGGAACGAAAGGCATATTGCTCTTATTGTCAAGGATAAATCGGAGGTGAGGATCATCCCAAAGTAGTAAACTTGCTTCAAGAGCTCTATGGAAAATAGTTCGAGGTAATTGAGAGGATGAAGAATTCCCATATTGACGAGAATGTAAATTATTGTGAAGATTATTACTATTTCCATGACCACGTCTTGATCTTTCATTATAATTATTTAAATTGTCATCATCATCATCATCTGTTGAAGATTCTTCTAGAACTGAGATTCGTCTTTTAATTCCTCTTCTAACTGATCGGACCAGTGCATCTTCTAATGGACAAACCGAAGATTTAGACCATCTTTCCAATAAATTTTTCCAATGTTGTCTTTCTCTACTGTTTGCATGAGGATTTAATACTACACAAACCCAAAGAGAGCCAAGTTGATCCCAAAGAGGCCGACATTTTTCTGCTACAGGTACGCCCTGTGAAAATGCAGTCAAGAGTGAAATAAAAAAAGAGAGAAAAAGGTAAAAAAAGTCCGAGTGAGAAGAAATGCATCAAAATGGTGGATAATAATTACGAAGGGTACCAACCTGTAACCTCCAAGCCGGTAGCCTTGGGTCAGCTAGAAATTGTTCCGTCATTAGCCGCAACATTCGAGCTGCATTTGAGTCTTTTGCCCTGAGCATTTCTTTGACCTGGAGAGATGAAAAGAATAAAATTCATCATAAGTAATCACAAATAGAGAATAAATAAAATCAAGTAAATGAGTAAGAGAAATTAAAAAAAAATGGTGACACAGGATAAGAGTAGTGGGTGGAGAGAAGAAAAAGAGAGAGAGAAAAAAAAGAGAAAAGATAGAGATTACGATTTGAAATCGAGATCAAGATCGAGAGCACGAAAGAAAACGAAAGGTCAAGAGTGGGAGAGTTCAGATAACAGTCACAGTTAACGAGCTAAGAAGGCACGAAAGGCACACAAATCGCACACACACACACACACACACACACACACAACTCACATACAAACAGCACATGTTTTCTGAATGAAAAATGAAGTGTAAGGTGAAACAAAAGAGGAAAAGGACATAATGAAAAAGGTTGATCATTACTTTGGCAAATAGTGCATTAAGTTGTTTGTTACTCTGAACTAATTGTGAGTGCGGAGGTTGAGCCAGATATGATTTAACTAGTTCAGAGACTTGCTCCTCGTCGAGATGCCAAGAGTGTTCATCATCAGCACATGATCCAGCGGTAGGATCAGGAGCTCCGGCAATGAGATTAATATTTGAACTTGATTGGAGTAACTCATCAGTTAATCTTTGGGCAGTAGGCAATATTTCCGTATGATGTTCAGAAATTAAATATTGTATTAATTTTTGTAATTGTTGACGATCTAATTGGAGCAAAGTTTCAGAAATTGGGACTCTGAGCTTGACAAGATTTGGATTCCTAATACGATATAAAGTTAATGCGACAACATGTTGACACCAGAATATATCCTTAGTATCGCATGTACAGGTCACTGATGTTATCTTACACCTATCAAAAGTAATTGATACACGATAACGTTTCTCGCATCCACCACTTTGTGAATAATTTGAGGACGATGAGCTAGAGCTCGAGCTTGAGTGAGAAGATTTGACTGTGACCACGCCAGAAAGATGAAAGCCAACTTGTAAAACATTTTCCACTGAGCCTGACTCATATAGACGAACTCCTTGGTAAAAGGGTATCTCAGATAATTTGGTTGAATCACCATTGGTAGTAGAATTTAGAATATCATTGGATAGAGATGAGTACATACAAATATCTCTCTCATTTCGAGGAAATGACCAATAAATAATTCGAGCCTGTACAGGTTCAGGTATTCTCTGGTATCTTTCTTCTATCCTTTGAAATGGTAAATTAATGGCAACAACTTTAGCACATATATCTAGTAGAGTCTCGGGACACATTAAATTGGAAGAAGACTTCCGAGAAGTAGAGCTGGTTGAATGATGGTGATGATGATGATGGTGTCCCGAATGATGGTTATGGTGGACGCTATGGAGATAATAATTGGAACCACTATTTACACTAAGATTATTATTACTACTACTACTGCTAATACTTCCACTGTTTAGGTGATGATTAAGATGATAATTGGCTTGTCCAAGGTAGTGGTGGTGATACTGGTGATGATGAGATGGTGGAGGTGGTAATGCTGGTAACAAAGGTAACTGTGGAGCTGGTGGAGGTTGTAATGGTGGAGGTGGAGGTTGAGGCGGCTGGTGCAGGCTATTCCTGGTGCCTGTAGAGTGATGGTGGTGGTGAGGGTAAGGTTGATCACTCATCAATAGAATACAAAGGAACACAATGATTGAATCAGATTAACAGAAAAGAAAAATGGAAAAGAGAAAAAAAGAGAAAAAGGAAAAAGGGAAAGAGAAAAAAGGAAAAAAAAGATAGAAATAGAATGTAGAAGAGAAGAAGAAGATAATCCAAAATGTATACTGTGTATATAAATATTAATTATTTCTTTCTTTTAGTATTGGTGTGTAAATAAGTATCACTTGTAATTGTTGTGATACTAATTAACAACAGTATTGGTAGAGAGAGTAAATATCACTAAGTGTATTAATTTTAGTAAGATCATGGTATTTTTACACAGAAGAACAAAAAAAATTATGATGTATTATTTAAATTAAATAAATAAATTTTTCTTTCTTTATCCATCAGTGGAGTGGAGAAGTATAAGAGAAGAAGTAAAAGGAGAAGGAGTAGAGAAGAAGATCAAGTTGAAGATGAAAAAGAAGAGGATGTTGATGATGAAGAGGAAGAAAGGTAAAAGCAGTTGCATTGAATGCTGCTGTTGATGATGATGATGTACAGGAGGATAGATGATGAGAGAGGAGAAGACATGATGATGATGAAGAGAGAAGAGAAAGAAAAAAAAGAGAATTAGTTAGTTAGCAATACTAAGCCTAAGAGAGAGAGAGAGAGAGATGATGATGATGATGATGATGATCAGTGCAGGGATAAGAGAGACAGAAAGAGAGATGATGTGAAAAAGAAAGGGAGAAGGAGAGAGAGAACAACAAAAAAAAGAGAGAGCAGGTCAAAAAGTAATAAACAAGAAATAAGATAAAACTGAGCTTCAACCACCGCGGGAAGATGGCGGCAGAGGACAAAAAAGAACAAAAAAGAAACGAAAAATTCGCAAAAAAAACACTTTTCTTACCTTAGTGTCTCTTTCTCTCTTATTGGAGATCAGGTATTATAACAATAAGAAAAAGAATAGAAAAAAAAACTGTTTAGAAAGAGATGAAGAAAGAGACTGAGAAAGAATTTAGAAAGAAGTGAAAAAGAAAAAAAAAAGTTAAATTCTTTTTGAAAAAAAGAAGAAAAGATTTTTATTGGGGGAAAAAAGTGTGATCCCTATTTTCTTTCTTTTTTCTTTCTTTTCTTTAAAAAGAAGGCGAAAAAAATTCTTTCTTCTCTTACTTTGATTGTTTTTTTCTTCTCTTTCTTTCTTAACATTGAAAGAGAAACAAGAAGAAAACAATTTTCTTTTCTTCTACTGTATTGACACCGACACCTTGTGGTTCGAAAACAAGTTAAACAACAAGTTCTACACATGCTCACATTTACTTTGGAATTTTTTTCTTCTCTCAATTGGGTTGCACTTGTTCATCAACAGATGTCACTCGATTTGAGAAGAACAATTTTTTTTCTCTTTTATTTAACTAAACGTCTCTTTCTCTGTGACCCAAAGGTAAACGTTTTAAATTGACGAGGTCACGGGTTAGTTTTCGCTGTGCAATTTATACTTTGTGTCCCTTTTCATTCCCCTTTTACTCTCTCACTTACCTGTGTTTCTTTTGTGCCCTTTTGCACATGATAACATTTCCATTGCAAATTGTTTACTACAATTGTGACCAATACACGCAAACTCGACTCAAAATCTGTATTATATATACAGTACACTATATAAAGTTAATCTATTTAAAAAAATTATATCTTTTGTTTATAATCTTTTTTTTTGTTTTCTCTCTCATCTTTAAAAAAATCAAATTTATATCATCATGTCTAATGGAACTGAGGCCAAGCCTGAAGAGGAAAATACTGTTAAAACTCAACGATTTACTTACTCAAAGGTAACATTTTTAATTTTCTATTCTCTTGTTTTCTAATGCGCCTATTATATCTTGTTGTTATTTCATATTCTTTTCTTTCATTTTCTCTTTGTCTTTATTACATTTATCTCGTTATTTAGGAGGAACTTATCGCTATAGCAAAGCAACCTTACTGTAAAAAGCGACCCAAATGTCTTGATCCGGACTATGTTAAGTAAGTTACATTAATCAGTTTTATACATAAATGATGATGATGATCATTTCATGGTTATTATCTCTCATATCTCTCTCTCTCTCTCTCTATGTGTGGTGATAGCCTTTGGCTTCCCCTCTTTATTATTCTTATCTTTGAAAGCCTAATATCTATCATGTTTCTGTGGTTTTGTTTTTCATTCTTCCATTTTATCTCTTTTCCTTTGACTAACAGTAAAGGAGGTCTCTGGGATCCAGATATTTGGATGAACTATAAGAATCCGTCAAAGAACCCAACTCCATCCAATCAAACTAGTACACGCGAATTTGACCAGTCAGCTATTGGTTTAAATAATAATAAATCTATCCGAGGTCCACCTAAACGAATAAACGGTGAAAATGGGGACAAAGAAAACTCTTTAAGGGGTAATAAAGATCCTCGTGATCGTGTTAAAGAAGAATCTCAAGATGATATTGTCTTAAGCCCTCAAAGACGCAGTTTTGGTACAGGGTGTCACATAGTTCCCGTTAGAAGTGAACAACCAGTTCAAAATAGTGCTCCACCCCAGCGCACCGCTCCTGTTGTAAAGGTTAAGAACAATGTTCATCAACAAGATCGACGTGAGGAACCAATTCTTCTAAGGAATGATACAGCTATTAGAAGAATAGGATCTGGTCGTGTAATGAGTCAACGTGATAATAAGTCAACATTGGAATGGTCCAAGTCACGGGAAGAAGAAATAGAAAATAGACGGTCAAACATGCGATATAATACTACTAATAATAGTAATAATAATAACGCAGGTAGATATGACTATGATAGAAGGTCTTCCATGCATAATAATAATAACCGTAGGTATGGTCATCAAGATCGTCGTGATCATAGACACCACGAAGAAGAAGAACCAGAATGGTTTACAGGTGGACCAACAAGTCAACATGATACTATTGAGCTTAAAGGTTTTGAAGAGGAGATGCCTGAAGAAGATGAAATTGAGTTAAGAAGACGACATTTACATCATAATCATAATCACAATCAATATTTTGGTCGAAATCAAAATCAATCAAATGGACCAGAATCTAGTGGACAGAGTTGTGGTAATGATAATTTTGAAAATGACCCCTCTACAAATGTCATTGAAGGTCAAGCATCTGGTTCAAAAGAGGGTCAAGAATTTGATATCAATGAGATGTTTAACTTTGAAGGTTGGAAAAACGTTGTTAACATGGGTCCAGATAATCCATCTACATCCATTCCCGAATATCCTGACACGTTGGTACCAGGAGAGAATCAAAATGTTGGTGGAACCAGTAGATTTGCTCAATGGTTTAGCGTTGGTAGGAATGAAACTGAAAGTCCTATTGATAGGCTACTTCAAAATGCTACTTTTTCATCTAATTATAATTCTAACTCTAATTATGATCATCGTCGTGCATCGGTACAAGATATCGAATCTGGTGTTTTCCACCATAACATCAATGGTAATATGGAAAATGGTTTCCACAGGATTGATCCCAGTGTATTAGGATTACGTAATTCTGAGTCTAACAATCATAATCTCCTTAATGGTAAAGAAAATGGTGATGGTTCACATCATGATGGTCCAGTCAACAAAGGAAAAGATTTACTCAGTCTTTTCAAGAAAGCTAATATAAATGTTAACGATTTGATGCAACAACAAGCTGCACTACCAACAGTCAAATTTGAACATGCTAGAAGCCTTGAAGAAATTGAAGCTTCTCTGATAAAACCTGATGAAAACCAGCACGAAAGTAATGGTGAAAGTAGTGATTTTAACAGATTAATCCTCAAAGCATTTGCAAACCGAGGAAATCAAATGAAACCAGACCCGTTAACCTCATTATTCAATGGTATTGGTGCTGTTAATCGAGTACCACCAATACCTAATATCATGAAAGTGCAAACTGAAGATCAGATTCTTCAACAACTTCATCAACATCAGCAACTCCAAAACCACCACCAACACCAACACCACCAGCAACAACAGCAGCAACACCAACAACAACAACACCAGCTACTACAACAACTTCAACAGCAACAACATCAACAGCAAATATTTCAAAAGCTACAACAACAACAACAGCAACAACAAATTCTTCAACAACTCCACCAACATCAACGCCACCAGCATCAACAACACCACCAACAACAGCAGCAACAACAACAACAACATCAGCTTCTTCAACAACTACAAAATCAGCATCAAGTTCAACAAATGCCACATTTCCAGGTGAAAAGTAAAACTGATGTTCTAAATGTTACACCGAAAACAGGAGCGGGTAATTTCTCAGCATTTACTCCAACTTCTGTGATGCGAAAATTTGCCTCAGAAAAAGACAAAGATGCGATGCGTAAGAAGAACATGCAAAAATCAATGAAAATCAATTGATAAATTGTAAATTAAAGAAAAACAAAACTATTGGCATTGAAATCAATTTGCATTGTTTTTAATTGATGGAAAACGTTTCGCGTCCAATTTTTAAATTGATTGTTGAACATCAAGAAAAACAAAAAAAAAAGGTTTCATTTGTAAATCAATTCATTTATTTTCGATTGGCAGTTTAACAATCTTTTCCTTTTAAAGATAAATGGTGATTAATTTTGATGGACCATATCTTGATGGAGAACAATTAACAAAAAGTATTCTAATATAATTTCACAATTTAGATAATTTCTAATCAACAGTTTCTTTGGTAAACAATTCAAGTGCATCCGGATCTTTAATGTCTTTCAAATCTAAGAAAAAAGGTTTCTTGTTAACCATAATTGTCGTGAATGGTGAAGCAACCGGAGCTAATTGAAGAGTTGACTGATTGAAATGTGTTACCACTGGTCTATTCAAGAAATTAAGGGTATACGCAGTGAAACTTTTCTCCCGCTGATTAAAGTACAACTGGTAAACATATCGCTTAGTAATTGAATTAATTAGCAAAGGAGTGAGAGAGAAAAGTAGAACCACCGCCGAAGTGAAAACCAGAGTGACCATTGAGATATTTGCTCCTTCTTGTAAACTCTTATTGTAAATGTATGTTTGACCAGCGAATCCACACAAACTCGTTGTTAATGATAACAGTTTAACGGATTTAATTTTTGCAATCAAAGGTCCTTCATAAATTAACCGATTACTCTCATCATCGTTAGTTGATTGTTGTCGAGAGCCATTTAAATTTGAATCAATCTTTGGATTAGATTTTAAAGAAGAGGAAGAGCAACGAACAGTAATCAAAGAAGATTTATAAATACTCGAGCAAGGAAAAGTAATAGAATTAAGTTTATTCAGTCGGGACAACATTCTTCCAGCAAAAGATAATCTTGAAAGAACAATTATAATTTAACCATCAACAATCAAAAAGAAAATACAATTAACTTGAGAAAAAAAATCAACAAGAAGACAAGAAGGCAAAGATAACCACAGACTCGACCAACATGCAAGTGAAAGCGCGAAATATGAACAATCTCTCAATTTCTCTTCTCATTAAATTGTCAACAATCATCAAAATCTATTCGACATCCAAAAGGGACGCGATTTCCAACCTTTTCCCGAGTTTTTGATAGAAAGTTAATCAACAAAATACTCACAATTAACTTTCACCTGGATGATTGTTTTTCTATTTAACTCTTATTCACTGTGACAGTTGAATGATTTAAGGTCTGACTAATTTGCCTAAATCGTAGTATCGATTTGTGGTCTGTTAACTTTTTGTTGGTCATTTAAATGATTTGACAATCTATTCCAAATATTCAATCTAAATTCTCGAAAAGTTATGATATTGACTCAATGGTTAAGCGTTTTTATCAATTGAGTTTTTTTTCTTGTCTTTCATTAGATAAAATTTTAATCTTCTTTTTAATCTCGTTGATTGTTGATCGATCTGTTCAACTTGTTACATTCAATTCTTTCCTGAACATGTTCCCCTTCACATCCATGGCCACAATATAAGCATCGTCCGGAAATATTTCAAGTTTAACCCATTTACTGGCCAAGAAAAATTCTCGAAATCTTTTGATTACTCCATTGGCTCCTCGATACTCGATCACTTGAACTCCATAACGTGACCTTAAAGTGGAATCGCTTAATTTAAATGCATCTCTTGATTCTGGAAAATTATTGAACCATTTGTGGCTCGTTAAAATTAAAGCCGATGATCTGTCCCACCATTTGTTTGATGCCGTCTCTTCACCAGGCTTAACTAAATAAAATCTATCGATATCCGGATAATGAGAAGACATCATTCCAGTTGAACTATGACCCAAATCGAAAATGTGTCCCAACTCATGGACACAAGCTCCTAATGTCGTCGCATAGCAGCCAGAATAAGTTCCTCTGCGAATGCGAATGACCAGCAATCGGATGTGAAAAGTCAAACAATCGAAAACAAAAATTAGGAAAATAATGTTTGCTTGTTAATTGTTGGAAATTTTCAATCTATTACAATATTTACCTGTTTCCACTGTCGTCCATCAAAATGGTTCGATCAATCAATCGGTTATCGGTGAAACATTCGACAATTTGATCGATCCTATTGGGCCAAGCGTAAAGGCAAGAAGTCGATAAAAGGGCCAACCCACCGCCTCCAAGAGCGACATAGCCTCGAGTCATTTTACGAATATCAAGTGTTGTTAGACTGTTTTCCGTTCGACCAGAACCTGGTTCACAGACATATCGAGAAAATGAGCAAAAGCCAAATACTTGCAATTAACATTAGACAATTTAGATGACAAGATACAATCGGCCACCAAATCCCATAATTGTTGTTGATCCATTGACCACAATTCTTTGTATGTTTGCTCAAGGGTAAAAGTGTAGACCATTGGTTGACCATTTTCATCAAGTTCCACTTGGAATGTATGATGAGCGGGAACAGTTTCGCCGAAAAATGTTTGCATCATTAGAACTGCGAGTGAAATTTTTTCCTTAGCCGATCGAAGGGAATTATCATCACCAGGAGTCGATTGGAAACAACCCTTTTCAAAGACTTCACCCCATTCATCGCGACAGATCAAATAAACTACTCGAAGACACCGTTGATTCTCCGTTTGTGGTTTGTAATTAATCTCAAATTCAACGGAAACTGGTAAAATTGTTTCTCCGTTAACTGTTATCGTATTTGGACCCTCTCGCAATGGAGCAAAACATTTAAAAGCAGAATCAATGATCGGCCAAGCAAATGAAACTCCATCATCGCGAACCAAAGTGACAACTTCACTATCGGCACCCAATATGTTTCCACTGATAATCGCCAATGAATGATGAATTGTCATTCGATCTCGAATTTTATTTAACTTAATTGCAGATTTATCTGCACGACGAAGGGTCATTTTAGCTTCTCGGTGACAACAATGTGAACCGAGGCTTTGTCTATCTTCACTAATCGAATTAATTTTGATTAATTGATCAATTCTCTTTTCTATTCTCTAAAAATTTACAATATTATTCGAAAAAATTATCGATTATTAGTTTTTATTTTTTTCTTCCTCCAGTATTTCCATGTACTTTTTCAATCGAGATTCTTTGGTCCTCTCGTTCCACCAGTCAGGAAGTTTTCTATTCCAATTGGGCGGAGGTTCAGTTCGTGATTCCCAAATATCATTTCTTTCAGAATTGACAACAAATTTAGTTATCCTTTTGTTTTCACTATCAATCACTTTTTGCTATAAAGAGAAAAGGAGAGAAACAAAATTAGAAAAACAATTTAAACATTATCACAATTGAAGAATCACAATCAAGTTAAACTAAGCTCGTTCTTCTTAATTGTCACACCTATGATTCAGTTACAAACCAAATAAATAGTCTGATAACCATTAAAACAGAATATCAAAAGCTCATGTTCAATAAAATACATTAATCAGCTGAGAGAGAGAGAGAAAGAGGAAACCAGGTTAGTCTGGTGTAAATAGATTAAGAGTTAATCTAAATTGTATAATCACTTAATTACATTAACATGAGCTGTTAATAGGAGTAATTGTTACTGGTCAACTGAACACTGGTCAATAGCAATAAAACAAATTAATAAACATTAAAAGCTAATGTTTGACTTGAATCAATAAGATTTAAGGTTAATACAAGAAAATAACAATCGGCAATTAGCAATTAACCAAACTGACCATCAGTTGCTCATCGCCTGTATTACGAAAGCCCAGACAATTCTTGTAATCTCTTGACCATTGATCACAATCTAATCCTTTACCATAGATAAATTTCTGGTTAAATCGTTGGAAAAAATTTTTACAATTTCTATTTTCCTCTTGATACCATTCACATGGACGAACCTAATTGTTGATGAAAAGGTAATAAAGGAAAACAAATTAGTTGACATGTGACAATTAGTAAATCAAAACTTACCTTCCAAGCTTCAGGATTATCACTTCTGTAATTGCTGATCAATATTTCACCTTGATAATCATCAAAAGCTTCACCACCTAAATATTTTTTAAACATTTCCAATTCACTTTGATTTAGATGTTAACAATTAGAGAAACAAATAAAGTAAATCTATTGATTTATTTGTACTTCTTTTCCAAATCACAAATCAATCCAATTACTTAAATTAAATCAATTATTCTGTTAACAATGAAACGAAAACTGATTATAATAAGTGGACAATTGATTAATCACAATTAGAATTGTTTTCTTCAATTAAGTAAACAAGAAAATCATGTTACCTTGTGAACATATGATTCGTTATGGGGAAAGAATAGAAATTACTTAAAGAGATAGAAAAGAAAATTGAAAACTAAACTAATCCAATTGTCGAGAATTTAATTGTTGAGATAAATTCAATTTTCAATCAGTAGCAGTTAAGAATTAAAATTAGTTAATTGTTGAAGAGAAAAACAAAAAAAGTAAACAATCAAAATCCAAAGGAATATATCGATGTCCGAGTATCGATTAATCGAATTGGAAGAAGAAAAAAAAATTCGATCAATAATTTTGTTCCTTTCTACAGAAAACAGTCTGTAGAAAGATAATCAAATTAAGGTAACAATTAAACGGTAATTAAAATGAAGCCACTTAATCAGGGCTACTAAATGATACCTAATTTACTCTCAAAGTGATTAATTAATCATCGAGCAATTAGGAAAACCTGCAAATCGAAAAGAAGATTTTTTTTCCAACAATTAAGAAGAAAAAAACATCCCAATCAATTTAATTACGATTTTCATCAACCAAGATAATCACAATTCTAATCTAATCTCATTCTCTACAAACAATTAATTCCACTAAATCCAATCAATTAGAAACAAATTGTAACAATTAGAAAATGTTGATTCGATTTTAATGAGAAGAAGAAAAAAAATTCTAATCACAATTAGAATTGAATTAATCATATTCACTATTTTTTCACTCTCTTTCTCTTAATTATTATAGTTAATCACTTAATCCTTTACAATAATATTATTACAATAAACTAATTCCCTGTCAACCAAAAACTGAAAACAAATATAAAAAAAGTACAATTTTGATATAATGTAATTAAAGTAAATCATATGTGTAACATGTTGTTACATTTAATTGTTGATCAAAGTGAAATTGACTCTCTAATGAATTAAAAAGAAATGGTTGCAATTAATCAAGAGAGACATTGGATAGATGATTTAACCAAAAGGAATCTAATTAAATTCAGTAAATCATATTAATCATGAACTGAGATAAAAGTAATTAGAGAATCATGAAAACCAATGGAAGAAAAAAAAACTTCAACTTTTGAGAGAATTTTTTGTTTTCTATTCTGGTGTAATAATTTTTATCGAAATGATATCAACGATAATTTTTCACCAATTCCAAGAGTTGCAAGTTCTCAGTAGAATAATTTATTTGGGTGAAATGAATAAGAAGAAAATTTTATATCTCAGAATAAAAAGTTCACTGGAGTCGAATTAATTTTCGAAACAAAAAAAAAGTTTTCTCTTCATTCAAATTCCCAATGGAAACTTAATGATGATGATGATGATCTTTTTTGCATCTTCATCATTATCATCTTCATCTTCCGCTTGGTAACTGTTTATGGTCATCGATTGGATTGATAAGTAAATCGTAAATTATGCAAATTAGATTGTTGATTGTGTAAGAGCAGAAAACAAATTGATCGAGAAAAAAATCGTTCGCATTTCCTCAAGTGAGAAATTTAAATTGTTCAATTGTTAATATTTCCTTTGAGATGTAACTAAAAAATCACCAATTTGAATCATCTTCAGTTTTTGATTAACTTAAGAAAATGAAAGTTGATCATTTTTCCCTTAATATCAATATAATCAAAAGTAATCATCATAATCAAATAGTGAATTTAAATTGTCAACCAATTCAAATGTAAAGCACACAAATTGTTGTCCCAATCAAGTCAACAATCAACTGATTAAGATGATGGTGAGATATTGATTTTTTTGCTCTCTAAAACTTTCAACTGATTCTGTACTTTTTACTTGATTTAATTGGTGATGATTTTTTTTAAGTATCATAATTAATTTGATTTGATTTCCTTTGGGACTTAATGATGAATTAGGAATTGCGTGTAATTATGATTCGCTTATTATATTTGATTTTTTTTCTTTCCCTCTGATTACTCAGTTTGGACTTGGAAAAAGAGATTGAATTTGTGAATGTCATGAGTAATGGAAAGTATAATAATGAGCTCAGATTATTATATTCGAAAAAAGGTTGTTCGATAAATGGAATTTTATAAAAGAGAAGAGGAAGAAGAAGAAGATGAAAACTGAAGGATGAAGATGAAGAAGAAACATGGAAGTGAAGGTGGAAATCGAAATAGGCTATGTGATGAAAAGAAGAAGAAGATGATGATGATGATGGAGAATTGAAAAGCCCAAGAGGTCAAGGTTAAAGAATTACTGGAATTGAAACTATGAGAAGCTCATCCAGGGAATTGAGGTTAAACTTTAGACTTTCATGAAAATTTTCAGTTGCAATTTTCACCAGAATTTTATCTTTATAATCCTTTTCTTTTGCTCTATTTAAAAGTGACTTGTAATTTTGCTTCCAACGAATCATTGATTTAAATTGTTGAACAACAAACGTTCCACTTTCTATCTAAGCTTAATCTCTCCACAGGCTTTAATCCCTAAACTAAACAATCAACTATAAGATGGAATCCATGATGTCCAGTGTGGAAATGTATTAACAACAGGAAGATGATTGATTGGTCAAGAAAATTTGAAACAAATGGTATACTCACCATTGGGAGATCAGTCAAGTTCAGGCTCTTTTTTTTTGTTTACCAGAATAAAACATGATACAGTTTCTTTGTATACAAAGAAAGGTGAGACTCTGATGAGATTTATCATCGTAATCACCATGAAAATTATATCAAACTGACCTTGTCATCGAGATGAATGTAGTAGCGATCCCAAAAAACTGACCAGTATCTATTTACTGGTCAATATTTTGGTTCCAACAAAAGGTGAACAACAAAAAATTGGATAATAAAAACACAAAGAAAAAGTTATCATAACCATTGAAGAAACACTTTCATTTGAAATAATCAACTGATCATTTAACTCAATTGTCATTTGATTGATGATGAAAGTTACAAGTATCAAGGAAAATGTCAATCAATTTAAATCACAATCATAATTTGACAATTTAGGATTCACAAATTGTGAAAATAAACTTATCTCTTTTAAATAATTGACTCAATTGTTGACAATCAATTTCAATCAAGAAACGAGAGTCATTAACCCATTGCATTGAATAAGAAGATTTGAAAAATCATTATTACAATCAATATTTTTGCATGGAAACAATTAACTTGATTGTTGACAAGTATTAAAAGAGCCATTCAATCAATATTACAATCATTTCAAAATCAAACAATTAACTTTGATTTAAACCGGGAAACCAATTACCTAATCGATAATCAATTATTTTCGAGGTGATTTATTATAATAAAGATACAATTATTTACATCTATTCAAATACAAATCATTGATTAATTGATTGATTATCTGATAAACAAACAATTAACATCAATGGACAAATCAATTGACTTTGTTTTTAGATCAAAAATCAATTGAAAGGAAAACTTTTTGTTCAAAAGTGAAATTTTCATCATTAACTTAATCAGAATCATTAATCTGAAACAATAACAATTTAAAAAGCTAAATTGTTACAACTGGATTAAGATATTATTTTGATATAAATTTGTGTTGTTCACAATTTACCGTTACTCTTATCGTTGGTTAATCAATTTGATGATTAACTAAATTAGTGCATTAGTCCAATTCCCTGGATTAATCTTTATTAGTGACCATTGGTAATAATGACCAATGTTAAGGTGTTTTCATTGTATAAATATATTAACATTGAAACTTTGAAATAACCTGAATTAAGTTAATTACATTTTCTGATTAGCAAAAAAAAACAAAGTTGGTAAATTAGATGAACAAGAAAAACAATAACAATCAATTGAACTCAAAGGTATTGATGATTAAAAACACCAAGGGATACAAATAATAGATCTCAGTGTGTTTAAGATAATCAGTTAATTAAGATAATAGATCAAAATTGATTGTGAAAGTGAATCAAGTTTTCCCATTGGAACCATGGAAACAAACAAGACGAGGAAGATAAAGATGAAGATGAAGATGAAGATAAAGATGATTGTTAACTTGGTCAAGGTGGAAAAACAATATACTGGACATTAGAAACTGTCCAGTTTTCCTTGGCTATTGTTTACCATTTAGAACCAGAAAAGTTGATTAATCTCAAATTCTCATATCTTAATCTTGATAACATTAAATCGTTAATCATTTGAGACATACAGTTTAATTTAATCTCCATGTTATCACGAGTATTGATTAACTTGATTGATCAGCTGACCAAAAAATAGTTACTCTTATGTTGGTAAATTATTTGTATTAATAATTAACTTTCCTTGGTCCATTGTGAGATTATCACTAAGATTTTAATCTGATTGGAGATTTGCTTAATTGTTATTGGGAATTTTTTTAATTCCTCAGGATAATTTAACAACAATTTCCTCTCGTTGATTGATAAAATTTGATGATTAAGATTGGGAAGATAATGTGATAATCGATGATTAAATTGTATCGATAACCATGAGTTAGAGGAAACGGAAACATGGGATAGTTTCATCAGGAAAATTGATTCAAGAATCGAGAATCAATGAATAATCAGCTGAATCTGTTAATGATTATTAATCAATTATCACAGTGTTTAAATTGTTTCATCAAATAAATTGTCCACTTGGTATTGATTAATTTGCTTTATCAACACTGAAACTCAATCAATTACAAAGTGAAACGAAAGCTTTTACATTTCATTAATTTGAACAATAATCGAATCAAATTAAATTAAATTGTAACATTTAATTTCTTTTGGATTGAGAAGCGAAAAATGGATTTCAAATTTGAGGAATGATTTTTTGATTGGGATTTTAATTTAATCAGATTAGAATTGATTGTCAGCCATGATTGATCCGAATGGAACAATTGAAAATAATCAAATTCATCTCATGTATTGAGGATGATGTTGATTAAATTTTCTGGTTTTCTCATTGATTCCTTCACATTGATTGTTATTGTTTCACTTTGATAAATCAATTTCTGCTTCCATCATGATCATTGCTTGTAACCTTCTGGTAAAAGTCTGGTTCATGGTTCATGGTGATAACCAGATCCCAGTTCAATCTAATATCAAGGGAAAACGATGCCAAACTGAACCCTCAGGCTAAACTCAGAACCAGAATTGTGAATGATTGATATTTTCATTCATCTAACAAAACTTTTTTGTTTTTTTCCTCTTCAAGAAACACTGAATTGATCATCATCT